GCTGGGGAGCGCCACGAATTGACCAAGTGAAGCTACAACTTTGCGACATAAATTTTGGGGTCTGGAACCATGTCGCTGACCAACACAAAGACGGGGTTTTCGGTCAAGGACATCTTAGACCTGCCGGACACCAACGATGAGGAGGGCTCTGTGGCCGAAGGGCCGGAGGAAGAGAACGAGGGGCCCGAGCCAGCCAAGAGGGCCGGGCCGCTGGGGCAGGGCGCCCTGGACGCGGTGCAGAGCCTGCCCCTGAAGAACCCTTTCTACGACAGCAGCGACAACCCGTACACGCGCTGGCTGGCCAGCACCGAGGGCCTCCAGTACTCCCGTAAGTAGCAAAACTTGGCTGCCGAGGCCGTGGTCCCCTCCACTCCTGCGGCCGCAGCCTGGGCTGGACGCTGGGAGTGAAAAGGGAAGGGGCCATGTAAGCCCAGACCCCCTCACCCGGATTCCTAGAAAGATTTTAAACACTTGTATAGGATGTCCTCTGCCCTCCTCTTCAAGCCCCCTTAGTTCCGGGAAAGAACTTGGTCTCCAAAATTTATTTTCAACGCGAGAAATTAAGGAGAAAGAGGGAGAAGGGCTATACCTCCCAGGGGCTGGTATGTGATGTCAACCGGGACTGATGGCTCCAGCCGCAGCCCCCGGACTCCGGCCGCTGGGAGGGACTGGCCTGGCGCCCTGGAGGTAGTCAGCGAGCCTCGTCCGGGTACGGGTGGAGGGTGGGGAGGCTTTGGGTGGCCCGGGTATAAATAGCTCACCCTGCCCCCTGCGCGATCATAGAGGACGCTTTGTGCGGTGCAGGGGGTGTCTAGAAGGCCCGAAAGCAGAAACGAAAGCCCCCAAAAACCTGCCTTAAATGACCAAGCCGATCAATGCTGGGATTGTGGGGGTTTTCTTTTAAAAATCTGCCCACGTCTCTCCGGAGAGGAAACCGCTTAAGGGGGCCGGAGCCCTTAACCCGCGATGATCTTCAGTGCGCCACTCCCCCCAAAATTCTCACCCACGCTATGTGAGCCCCTTGAAACGCGAGCCCCTAGGCCCCACTCCTGCGGATTTCCCTCTTTACCCTGGGAGGCCCCGACGTCCTCGTGAGGCGTAGAGCAAGGCAGGGGTCACGGCAAAGGCAGCGGGGCTGGGCTGCCAGGCGCGGAGGTCCAGGGTCGCACGGAGGATCCAGGGTGCTCCGAGTCTGGTGCAGGCTGCGCGCGGCCTCCAGACGCCTGACGCGCTTCTCTCTCCCCCTCCCCCCAGTGCACGGTCTGGCGGCAGGCGCGCCCCCTCAGGACTCAAGCTCCAAGTCCCCGGAGCCCTCGGCCGACGAGTCACCGGACAATGACAAGGAGACCCCGGGCGGCGGGGGGGACGCTGGCAAGAAGCGGAAGCGGCGGGTGCTTTTCTCCAAGGCGCAGACCTACGAGCTGGAGCGGCGCTTTCGGCAGCAGCGGTACCTGTCGGCGCCGGAGCGCGAGCACCTGGCCAGCCTCATTCGCCTCACGCCCACGCAGGTCAAGATCTGGTTCCAGAACCACCGCTACAAGATGAAGCGCGCCCGGGCCGAGAAAGGTATGGAGGTGACGCCCCTGCCCTCGCCGCGCCGGGTGGCTGTGCCCGTCTTGGTCAGGGACGGCAAACCGTGCCACGCGCTCAAAGCCCAGGACCTGGCAGCCGCCACCTTCCAGGCAGGCATTCCCTTTTCGGCCTACAGCGCGCAGTCGCTGCAGCACATGCAGTACAACGCCCAGTACAGCTCGGCCAGCACCCCCCAGTACCCGACAGCACACCCCCTGGTCCAGGCCCAGCAGTGGACTTGGTGAGCGCCGCCCCAACGAGACTCGCGGCCCCAGGCCCAGGCCCCACCCTGGCGGCGGTGGCGGCGAGGAGGCCTCGGTCCTTATGGTGGTTATTACTATTATTATAATTATTATTATGGAGTCGAGTTGACTCTCGGCTCCATTAGGGAGGCATCGGGAGGTTGCCTGCGTCTCCTTGGAGTGGCAGATTCCATCCACCCAGTTCTGCCCATGCCTCTCCTTCTGAACCTTTGGAGAGGGCTGAACTCTACGCCGTGTTTACAGAATGTTTGCGCAGCTTGGCTTCTTTGCCTCTCCCCGGGGGGACCAAACCGTCCCAGCGTTAATGTCGTCACTTGAAAAAGAGAAAACGACCGACTCCCCACCCCTGCTTTCGTGAATTTTGTAAAATATGTTTGTGTGAGTAGCGACATTGTCAGCCGTCTTCTAAAGCAAGTGGAGAACACTTTAAAAATATAGAGAATTTCTTCCTTTTTTAAAAAAATAAGAAAATGCTAAATATTTATGGCCATGTAAACGTTCTGACAACTGGTGGCAGATTTCGCTTTTCGTTGTAAATATCGGTGGTGATTGTTGCCAAAATGACCTTCAGGATGGGCCTGTTTCCCTTCTGGGTCCAACTCCTTTCTTTGTGGTTTGTTTGGTTTGGGTTACGTTTGCGTTTTCCCCTGCTTTCTTCCTTTCTCTTTTTATTTTATTGTGCAAACATTTCTCAAATATGGAAAAGAAAACCCTGTAGGCAGGGAGCCCCTTGCCCTGTCCTCCGGGCCTTGAGCCCTGAACTTGGAGCTCAGCTATTCGGCGCGGTTCCCCAAGAGCGCCGGGCGCAGAAAGCTTTCGATTTTTTAAATAAGAATTTTAATAAAAATCCTGTGTTTAAAAAAGAAAAAAAGAAAAAAGCCCTGCCCTCCCATTTGTCTGACTTTGTCGCCCTGCGCCGGGCCGGAGGCCTGGGGCTGGGAACCAGGCCTGGCCGCCCGCGGG